GTTTCTGTGGATTTGTTTCTCTAAGGTACCCAGACTAACACAACCAGGGAGATAGACTGTCCTTAGAATCAGCAACCATCTGGAATTCCGAGGACAGCATTTTTCCCAGGACCGAGTTCAGAAATGTAAGGAAAGGAGGAGGGATGAAAATGGGAAACACAGGGAAGAAGCGGAATCAGCACTGGCACCTTGTGGGGTTTGCAACCAATGACAGGAAACAAAATGTGTATGAATTGTTGATGGAAAACGGATTTGCTCTGTAACTCTTTATCCCACTCACAATATAAACATCAAAACATATATCTGTATAGATAACAGATATATTTTAAAAGCCTCTCCCAAGTTAGTCGTGCGTAACTTTCGTTGCAGAAGCAGCAGTAAGGGACACGGGGTGACACAAGAGTCCAGGTAGAGGTGATGTTCTTCTGTTGGCGCCCGAGGGTGCCTGCAGACCTAGATGTTTGCTTAGGTCAGATCCCCAGGCCTTGGGAGCAGCTACCAAGGGGTAGTGTGCGGTGGGGAGGGCTGGTGTTTCTGGCTTGCTCACGTCCCTGGATGGTGAGGACACGGACAGCCAGGAGAACAAACAAATCCATCTTGGAAGAAGTGCAGCCGGAATACAGGGTGGTGCAACTTGTTTCTCGACCTTTTGAGAGACATGTTCCCGGAGGACATCAAGGAGAGGGTCAGTGACAAAGAGCTGGACCCTCAAGGACCTGGAGCGACACAGACGGATGGACCCAGTGGCTGCAAGAACAGGCTCAAACACAGCAAGAATGGTGAGGCTGGCACAGGACCGGGCAGTGTTTGGTTCTGTGGTCCATGGGGTTGCTACCAGTTAGAACCAAGTCAACGCCATCCAATCCCAACAAGCACCAGAGAACACCCCCCCACACCCCCGGTGATGAGGCTGTCGTCCTTAAGAGACCACACACATGAGGTCACACCCTGCAAACGTCTCCAGAAGGGCTGGGAAGATGTGAAAGGCTGACACTGTGAAGGGAAGGAGGCAGCAGCGAACAGCATCCCCGGAGCCAAGACCATTGCCTGGCACATAGTAGGTTCTCAAGGAACCAATGAATGGACTATTTAACAGACAGTCACGCACCCTGGTCTGTGGCTTGGGTTGCAGGGACTTTTTTTTTTTTTTACTTTTTTTTGGGGGGTTTTCATTTCTAACCAGCAATAGAAAACCCAGAAGCCCTAAACCACTCTGGGTGGGGACGAGCTTTTTAAGTCCCTTTTTTTTGGGGGGTGGGGGCGGGCGGGGGGCATCCTTTGCTCGACGGTGTCCCAGCATAGCTCAGTTCCTGGAGAGTTGAACGGTGCTCTCCTCCCAGAAAACTGTGGACCGCTTCACGCATGGGCATGTCTTCCTTGGCTCAGGGTCAGGCGAATCGTCTCTGCGTGGTTCTCCTCTGGGTCCGCACGCTGTGGTTTTCATTTTCAAACCCCCAAGGAAACAAAAGAGGACCTCGCCCGCGCAGCTCGACTGCAGCGTTACCCACTACGGCCGAGCGATGGGAACCACAGGCTAACGGACACACCGACTGCGGCCCGCGCACACAATGGACCACCACGTAACCGGACAGAACCGAGATGCACCCAGGAAACGTCTCACAGCGTCTAGGACCCCGGGCGACGTCACGTAGAGCCGGCTGGTGCTTTCCAACCGCCGATCTCAAGGTGAACATCCTGCCCGATCACCCCCGCATCACCAGGGCGCAGGCCATTGAGAATTTGGTCTTTAAAAATCTCTCGGCCTTGCATTCCGGCCTCCTGTGGCCCTTAGGTGCCATCGAGTTAGTTCGGATCCAGAGCGAACCGGGCCCGGTCCTGCGCCGTCCCCCAGTGGAGCTCATTGTTGCAGCCACCGTGTCCATGCCTCTTGAGGAAGGCCTTCCTCTCGGTCGCTGCCCCTCCACTTTAGCAAGCGGGTCTCGGTTGGCCAACAACCTTGTTAGGAACAGCGTTGGTGGAACCTGGCCCTGCACATGAACCCACAGGAACCGAAGCACTACTGGAACTGGGTCACAATGACAGCTCTGACCGGAGCCCATTCCAGATGCCAACTCACTGCCAGGGAGCTGTGGTGGTGTCGTGGGTTAGGGAACGGCACTGGGTTACCAACCGCCAGGTCCGCAGTTAGAAGCCAGCCGCGGCTCTGGGAGAAAGAGGAGGCTGTCCCAGACAGTCATCAGTGTTCCCCTTAAATCGTTTCAGGTTTTGGGGGAGGGGCCGGCGTCTCTTTTGTACTGACTGGTATAGCACGTGCACGTTGGACTGCTAGCCCCAAAGCCGGCAGTTTGAAACCACCAGCCACTCCTCAGGAGAAAGCCAGGGCTTTCTACTCCCACAAGGACGCACAGCCTCGGAAAGCCATGGGGGCCTGTCCACCCTGTCCTATAGGGTCGCTGTGAGTCGGCATGGGCTTGGTGGCAGTGAGCATAGATGTGTTGACCACTACCAGTTGCCATTAAGTTGATTCCGACTCGGGGCGACCCTGCTGTGTGCCAGAGTACAAAGGTGCTCCTTCGGGTTTCCAAGGATCGATTTTACAGAAGTCGGTCGCCAGGGCTTCCTCCGGAAGCACCTTTGAGTGCGCTCCAACTTCCAGCCTTTCGGTCAGCCACCAAGCCCACTGACCATTCGCCTAGGCCACCAGGAAGGGGGTGACAAGCCGGCTCCTCATTTTTGCCCTGGTTAGTTCTGTCTGAGCCCGGACCGGGAGAGTCTGCAGCTCAAAGGGAGGGGGTGGGCCCTGGGGAGGGGAGTGGAGAACAAGCAGGTTCTGAAGCTCCATCATGGATCTCTTAGCCTTGGCGATTCCAGATCAAAGAGGCCTTGTCGAGCCTGCCCTATGGTCCTTTCTGCCACCCTCTCCAGACCCCTCGCAGAGGCAGGCCCATCCAGACCGACGCCAGGCTTGGTCTGAGAGAGGGGGCAGCCTGTTTTTATCCTGACCCCGCCAGGGTAATAGCAGCTCTGCTTCTAGTGTGTCAGGCCAGAAACCCGGGTCCTTTCTTCTCTCTTGGACTCCTCTTGGTGTGACTTGCAGGAAGTGTCCAGAATCCCATCTCTTCCCAGCTCCATTCTTGTCCTAGTCCCAGCACGGTCACCTCTCCCTGGGACCTTGTTGCTGTCCTTACCCCATCACAGCCTGGTCTCGACAGAGAGCATCGGAGACCAAACCCACATCAAGTTGAATTCAGCTCCTCACCGGCCTCGAGGACAGAGGAGGACTCCCAGAGGGTTTCTGTACAGAAGCCGATTGTCCTGTGGAGCCGTGGTGGATTTGAACTGTCAACCTTTTGGCCAGCAGCCAAGTCCATCACCACTGCATCACCAGGTAGATCCCGTCAAGAAGTGCCATCTAGCCTTGTCCTCCTTCTACTGGGAACCCTCCAGTGGCAGGTGCCCTTTCGTGACCTACTCCAACTAAACCCACCACCGTCAAGACGATTCGACTCACAGCGACCCTACAGGACAAAGGAGAACTGTCCCTGTGCATGTCCCAGATGGTCAATCTTTATGGGAGTCTGTAGCTTCATCTTCACTCCCTCAGAGGCTTGGTGGGTTTGAGCCACTGACTTTAGGGTTTGTAACTCGAGCCCTCTTCAATCAATCCCACCTCCACCACCCACCTGCTCCGAGTGAGACATGCAGGCAGTTTTGTTTTTTATTGGTCAAGAACTTTTACAAAACACACACACACAGCCACACACACAATCACCACACCCAAGCTCACACAGGACACCCACCCCAGTCCCCGGGAAGCCATCCTGCAGCCCCGCCTGGACTCCTGCCCATGGGAGAAACGGCATCCTATCCCTGCTCCAAGCTCCCTGAGGTGCCAGTCTTGCCCCAGTGTCCCAGCTGGACAGGATGAAGACCATCTTCTGGTTGAAGCTTCCCTTCTCCCATGGGCCGCCTGAGCGGTCCAGGGTCCCAGTGTGAGCGGTGGGACAGGGGGCAGACTCAGCTCTGTGGTGGGAGGAGACTGGGTGGTGGGGCCAGACTGCATCCTCAGGGAGGAGACCACCAGGCCCGATGCAGGCAGTTGTCCTCGGATCCTACAGCCAGGGCAGCTGAGGGAAAGGCACGGCCAGCACTATACAGGTTTGCCCAGGCTGCCTTCTGTGACCGCCTTCGTGGCCTGCTCAGGTATGCGGCCTGGCTCAGTGAGGATACAGGTAGACGTGCTCAGCTGGCGGAGAGCGCTCAGGACCGCTGGCAGGAAGAGAGAGCAGGGGGTGATGGGAGATTAGCCCTCCATCTGGAGGGAGGGCCCCACCCCCTACCCTTGGAGGCTGAACACAAAGGAAGGGTGGTCCAGTGGGGGTGTTGGGGGTGGGGGTGGGGCTTGTTGGCAAGATTATCTGTCCCTCCCAGGACCTCGGTCTGTGGCCATCCCAGTGGCGGCCAGAGGACATAGTCACTCATTACCAGGGAGTCCATTTCGATTTGTAGAGACCCTATAGGACAGGGTAGAACTGTCCCTGTGGATTTCCGTGACTGTAATGATGGTAATGCTTCTTTCTCCCTTGGAGTGACTGGTGGTTTCAAACTGCTGACCTTGTAGTTAGCAGCCCAATGCATAAACCATTACACCACCCATAACCCAGGGCTCCAGGAGGGTATGGTGGCATGGGCTAGACAGGCGTTGGGGCCTGAGCTGGGAACCTGCAGGGGGGAGGCGCACATACTTGGTCGGAGCGTGGGCAGGGAGCAGTGCTGGTCCAGCCAGGCCAGCGAGGTCTGGCGGAGACTCTGCAGACTAGCCGTGGACACCATCCCGTTGAAAGATTCGAACAGAGGCCGGATGAGGATGCTGAACTGGGTACCCTCGTCAAGGAGCAGGCCTGTGGCCCATCAGCAGCCCACCCACTTCATAAGTCACCCGACACCCACCCCAACCTTGGGGAGGGGCCAGGACAGGGTAGAACTGCCACTGAACTTCTGAGGCTGAAAACCCGTCTTTCTCCCCAAGGAGCTGCTGGTGGTTTCAAACTGCCCATCTGTCACAGCTCAACGGGGACCCACTACACCACCAGGGAGGGGCCAGCGGCTCTCTGACCTGGAAGCCTGGGCTCTGTGCTCTCTCCTCTGGGCCTGCCCTCCTGTCCCCCACTGCCTCTGAGAGGATACCACCCAGAACTTCCAGTTGTGCAGCGTGCGGGTGCGGACGTAGTTGTCAAACATGTCCCTCATCTGGTCGAAGCGCTGGTGTGTGATCGGCACTCCGGTGGCGGGCAGCTGCTGCTGGCATTGGCTGGGGGCAGGGCAGGGTCAGGGGCTGGAGCCCAGCGGCCAGTGGGGGGCAGGGGGTGGGGTGGGCCTGGCCCTGCACCCGCCTCCCAGGCCTACTTAATGGCGGCATTCAGTTCCTCGATCTGGTCTCGCAGCTGCTGGGCCTCCTCCTGCAGCACCGCCCGCTCCTGCTGCAGCATGGCTATGTACTCAGCCGTCTTCTGCAGCGTGGTGGCTTTGCTGACCTGCAGGCACCGGCCATGAGGCACAGGGTCTGAGCGCCGGTGCTCCCTGAAGACCCATAGGGGCCCTGGAGGGAGGGGGGTGGGCTCACCTTGATGCTGGGCTGCATACTGAGCGTGCTCACCAGCCCATGCAAGGTGTCGAAGCCCAGCTTGATGTTGAAGCGCCGCTTCTGCTCCGCGGAGATGTGTGTGACACGCCGGCTCTCCGACTTGGGGGAGACCAGGTCGGGCGATGAGCCTGAGCCCAGGGTGAGCTTGGGGGCGGCAAAGGGCTCTTGGGGTCGGAGGAGGGCGCCCACCTTGCTGCTGTCAGGACGCCCCCGGCTGAGGGTGGGTGGAGATGGAGAGACGCAGATGCTTGGGCCTGGGATGGAGCCAAGCTCCCCAGAGAGCCGCCGTTCACCACCTGTGGCAGGGACGGAGAGAGGGACAGACAGACCAACCTCGGAGAGGGTGCCACCGCTTGGTCCATCTTCCCCTTCCACCTCGAGGATCCCCCAACCCCGGCTGCAGCCCCTCCTCCTTACCACTGGGTGCTGGTGGGGAGAGCCGCTCCGCTTTGGGGACAATCAGGGGCCCGGGAGGGGCCGGGGTGGCTGGGCCCAGAGATGGCCGGGGCGGGGTGGGAGTCCGAATTGGGGGCAAGAAGGTACAGGGGAACTCGGGGAGTGTCTCCTGCTGGGGTGGAGAAGGGAGATGAGTTGGGGTGAAGCTCCTGGGCTCACCTGGACATCCCGGTGCCCCCCATCTTACCGGGGACCCTGTGGGCAGGAGGAGGCTGCTGGACATGCGTGGTGGGTCCAGAGCTTGCTCAGGCTTTGCTGTGGATGGACAAAACTGTGAGGGCCCTGGGGCTGGCACCAACAGTCTTGTCCCCAAGATCCATCCCTCTCCATCCCTCTGGGACTACGGCCCATGTTTGCAGTTTGTCCCCACCATCCCCACCCTGAGTCTCCCCACTGGCCTTCCCCCCTTTCCTACCCATCTCACCTGCTGTCAGTAGCTGGGTGAGGCAGGGGTTGGGGCCTCCACTGGTGGCAGTAGGGCTGGCCGTGGCTGGGACCAAAGTGGTGGGGCTGGGCTTCCGCACTCGAGGGCATGGGGTGGGGGGCTTGCCCCTGGGTCGGATGCCCCGGGGCATGGCAAAAGCAGTCCCCAAAGCAGGCTCGGGATACCTGGAGGGTAGCAGGTCTATAGGGAACGGGGCTGGGGCAGGGCCTGAGTCTGGCTTGGAGCTGGGCAGGAAAGTGGGGGAAGGGGAGAGGGTGGGCAAGCCTGTGACAGAAGGGGCCACGGAGAATGGAAACCTGGGAGAGAAGAGGGGCTCTTCTGGAAGCAGTGTAGGGGGTGGAGCCATGGGAGGGTAGTGGGGTGGAGGGTAGGGCTCCAGGCCTGGCACCTTGACTGCAGCCGAGTAGGGGAGTGGGTAGGATGGGGGTGAAGGTGGGGATGGGAGCTTGGGCTTGTGGTCTTCAGGAAGGAGGAAATCAGGGCTCAGGTAGGCACTGGAGTCCAAGGGGCTAGGGCAGCTGTTCTGCACCTGAGTGGAAGGATACAGACAGATACTCAGAGAGAAAGAAGAGGGCTAGACCTGCCAGGCATGCTGGCAGCTCCCTGCCTGGCTCAGTTCAAGACTGAGCGCTGGGGAGAAAGAAGATGCCTCCTAGCGCGTGCGCGCACACACACATTTATAGACAAATCAGGTGTGAGAAAGAACATCAGTCTTCCTGCTCATCCATTCATCCATCAACCCATCCACTGACTCCTCCATCCCTCCTCCATCTGCTCAC